TCCTGACACCATGTCAGGTCCTCTCAAAACCTTTAGGAAACAACAAGGGTCTGAACACTGACCCCCCAAAACCCCAAGAAAACAATGCTCAGGTTTGAAACCTCATGTCAGGTCACTCTGAACCTCAAAGATATCACTCTTCAGGTATAATTGACAAGAATTGAGAAGGGCGCAGGTAGGGCCCCTCACATGCGTGCAATTGCTTAATGGGACACTCACAAGGATCTTGGAATGGTGGATGAGAAGTCAGAACTTGTCCGAATACTGGGCTTGACCAAAGGAACGGTGATCACGTGATGCGACGGGGACACTATCCATCACGCCAGAAAATTGTTTAATGCTATGTCCTGACCAATTAATGCTCAACTGCTGTCGCTGGTAAATAGCCAACTACATTTAATGTCACAGTAGCTATTTAATGCACCACTGCTAAACTAAGTGGAACAGACGGGTGATTTGACCTAATAGCTAAAAAGAAGAGATCTAAGGTAATCATGATCCAAGACCATAGTTTCCGGGTAATATTCCAACAACGTATCGAACCTTTGGGTATTATCCGGAGAACCTCAGACTATAAATACCTGCATCATGAGCAACCAAAAACCATCATAACTGAAGCTCATGTACTATGTCAGAGGCACAAACATTCTTACCTTCACCATTGGTCCCTCTAGTTTGTCTACTTCTCCTTCTTCCAGATCAACTCTCTGGGTCCCTCAACTTGTGATCAATATCTCTCTTTTATCATATTTTATTATTGTTCTAGTAAAGGACCCTTACAAAGATTAGCATTAATTACCCTCCAGCTATTACTGAAGTGAGATAATATCCTAGGAAGCACGGAAACTCCAAAATGGGCGAAGAATCCGTGTCCGACACGTGTCGGACACGGACACGCGTCGGACACGCCCCGACACGTGTCGGACACGCCAAAAAACGTGTCTGGAATTTTTTTTTTTTTTTTTAATTTTCGGACACGGCTGGGACACGCCACGGACACGGCTCAGACAGCTCAGACACGGCTCGGACACGGCTTAGACAGCTCGGACACGGCTCGGACACGGCTCAGACACGGCTCGGACACACTTTTCTGGAATTTTTTTTTTTTTTTTAATTTTTAATTCTGATATGTTAATTTTTTTTTTTTTTTTTTTTTAATTTTTAATGCTGATATGTTCTATTTTTTGTTTTGTACTACCCTAAAGATGTTGATATATATATATATACTAACCTAAAGATGCCACAATTCGCCGTGTCCGTGTCCTAAAGATGCTGATATATATATATACTAACATATCAGTGATATATATATATATTCCAACCTAAACATATCAGTGTTTTTTTTTTTTAAATTATTAATGCTGATATATATATATATATATATATATACACACACTATTCGCCGTGTCCGTGTTCTAATTTTTTTGGATTTGCCGTGTCGCCGTGTCTGTGTCGTGTCGTATCCGTGTCCCGTATCCGTGTCCGTGCTTCTTAGATAATATCTAATTGACGCAATCAATTGTGATATTAATACATACATAAATATATATATGTGTGTGTGTGTGTGTGTGTGTGTGTGTTATTTGACTAAGAAAAACATAAGTAAAGATATATGAAAATTAAATCCATTCTAAAAAAGGAAATACATAGATAAAACCAATTCCATTAATAATCTATTTTTCATTAACTCGAGAAGTACTTGAAAACATTTGTTCCTTGACAGAGAAGACTACAACAACCAAGCCTTTTCCCAATTGGTTGGGGTCAGCTACATGAATCCCATGTTTCCATTCCACTCTATTTAAGGTTATAACCTCACTCAATCCACATGCAATCATATCTTTCTTCACTAAATCTACCCACGTTAACTTTGGTCTTCATTTATGCAAAAAAAATAAAAATAAACTTTGGTCTTCATCTTCCCCTAGTATAACTCTCAATGTGGACTATATCACTTTTCTTGACCGGCACACTTAAAAGTCTTCTTTGCACATGTCCAAACCATCTTTAAAGATTTCTCTCATTTTATCTCTAGTTGGTGCTACTCCAACCATCTCCCAAATGTGATCATTTCTTATTCTATCCCTTCTAGTCTTTTTTTTTATATATAAGTAAAGTATGGCTAGTCTAATAGCTATTCAATAGAAATCCCCTTTCAGTCATAAGGAGCTACTCCGATCACATACTATACTAGATGCACTACTCCATTTAGCCCATCCTGCCTTGATTCTATGATTAACGTCATCTCCAATTTTTCCCTCATTGCGAATAATTGAGCCTAAATAACGAAAATGTTCTACCTCTTGATTCTCTATCCTCACTACATCCTCATTTGTCTTTCTAGATTTACTAAAGTTACACTACATAAATTCAGTTTTATTTTGACTTATCTTAAACCCTTAGTTCTAAAGCTTCTCTCCAAACCTCCAATTTGGCATTAACTTCTTCTCTAGTCTCATCAACTAAAACAATATCATTGGCAAATAACATACACCACGGAATCTCATCTTGGATGTGTCTTCTCAACTCATCCATAACCAAGGCAAAAAAGATACGGACTTAATGTTGACCCTAGGTGTAAGCTTCTACAGTAATTGGGAATTCACTTGTTTCCCCTTCAGGCATTGTAATTATAGTCACACAACCATCATACATGTCCTTTATTGTGTCAATGTATCCCTTTGTGACTCCTTTCTTTTCTAAAACCCTCCATATTAGGTCTCTAGATATCTATCATAGGCTTTCTCTAAATCAATAAAAAGCATATGGAGATTCTCTTCTTCTCTCTATATCTTTCCATTTGTCTCCTCAATAAGTAAATAGCCTCCATCATTGACCTACCCGGCATGAACCCAAATTGGTTCTCCGACACTTGCGTCTCTCGTCTTAGGCGTTGGTCCTTGATAGGTAACACTACCAAAATATTCTTGTTTCATTCGTAAATAAAACATAACAAAAAAATTACCTACAAAAATTTAAACAAAACCAAAAGAGTGTTCTTGTTGAGTCATTCAGAACCACTGACCACATATTTACCAAAGAAATCGAGCAACCCATGGCGCTTGTTCTATATGGGATTTAAAACACTAGCCCTACTTCACCATATCAAATTGCCAAATGCTATCTTTACTCAGGCATATGATTTTAAATCACTATAGCTTTACATTCATCAGCTTCAACCCCCCCCCCCCCCCCCCCCCCCAAAAAAAAAAATAATAATGACTTCGAATTAGTACAAAACATATATCGTCAATGCAACGTAATTGGTTTAGCATGGCATAATACATATTGAGTGCTAGTGAGCAGAAAATTTAACATGTTCAAATCAGAAGCTAAAATCATTTTTTGAAAGGATTTCTCCAATCAACCCACGTCAAAACATCAACAGAACAAAACATAGGAATTGACATCCTTGCCTTCAGATAAATGTCAAATAAATAAGCAAGAGATCAAAGTAAAAGCCAACATGGGGGTTCTCCATCCAACATTAAGCATTATCTTACCTGTTGGTACTTGGGCAAATAAAAATTACCTGTGTGTAGCATGTTGTTTTTGTTAGTATCAATAATCAAGCAGTATCTAGATCGCAAGGCAACTGGAACCAACTTTAGCTAATAATAGATCTCACAATGGCAACATTTCATGTCCTTAGTGATCAACAACTGAACCACGCATTCCATGTTGACACACTGTTCAGTGATTACCGCATAATATCAAAAAAGAAAATCATTAAATGCTAGTATAAGAAAGAATCCTATGCGGAGCAGAATATTTCCTAATATAGCTAAACTCAACTTAAAGACGCTTCATATAACGTCCTTGCCTTTTAGATAAATGTCAAATAAATAAGCAAGAGATCGAAGTATTTTTTTTTTTTCCCAGAATTCAAGAGATCGAAGTACAAGCCAACATAGAGGGTTCTCCATATAACATTAAGCATTATCTAACCAGTTGGTTCTTAGGCAAAATAACTTACCTGTGTGCAGCATGTTGTTTTTGTCAGTATCAATAATCAAGCAGTATCTAGACTGCAAAGCAACTGCAACCAACTTTAGCTTTATAATATATCTCAAAATAGCAACAACTGAACCGTGCATTCCATGTCAACGCTACATTCAATGATTATCGCACAATATCCAAAAAAGAAAATCATTAAATGCTATTATGAGAAAAGGATCCTATACGGAGCAGAATTATGAAAAAGGTTCAATGAAAATCTGGATAAAGCGTTCTGAAATTGAGTTGAGCTGTATTAAGAAATACTACGTATTAATCATTTCCATACCATGAGACACGAGTGAACATTGTAACTGAGCCTAGGATTAAACAGCTAATAGTTTAACATAGAAACTGTTTGATAAATTATCTCCACTTCGAGCACCTAATGTAATTAAAGTGGACAACAACAATTTAACGGACATAGTAATTAAAGTGGGCAACAACAATTTAACGGACGTTGTAAAGAGATCGAGTAGCATTTACAATCAACTTATCACCATCTTCATTACTATATAGATCATGCTTCTGCAAGTTGCACTTACAATAAATGCATATTGAGTGAGAATGATAACTTATTTATCTCTACTTATCAAGGAAGCCAACACAATGATTACACATAGAACAACCATTCACCCACACACAGATACCTTGGAAATTGCATTTGGATATTGACAATGAGATCATAGTTTTGCTTCAGATGCTACTTACATTACTACCAATTCAGTAAACTTGAATTACTGTCAAGAGTAAATTGCTTGTACTCTTCAATTTATAACACAATGCAGAACAGAAACAAGTGAAATCTGTACTAAAATTTTGAAATAAACAAATGCCTTTTTCAAATTGCAAATACAAGAGCAAAACACAGCACAAACAAAAGAAAGAGAAGATAAAATGGAGTTGCAGAACAGCTTCTTGAACACACACACACACACATGAGGAACAAGTATTTGTGTTAAAATAGTGTGGATTGCCAAGGTGTTGGTTTTGTTTCGTGGTACCTGGATTTTAAAAGCTATAACTTGTAAAGAGAACCCACCGGAATCATCACCACCGCCAAAAGTTGGAATATGAGGTTTCCAATTGCTCAGACCCCGAATTTCCATTCCCTTTCCTCCACTTTCCCTGCAACCAAACGACACCATTACTTCTCTGGAGCAATATTTATCAAACACCAATTAGGGTTTCTGGCTATGAGCAACCAAACAACAAAAACCCTAGGGCTTTTTTTCCATAACACGAACATGTTTATACAAACAGAGAATCTCAAAACCAATCAAAAAAGAATCTCAGAAAGAATGAGGAGCGCATGTTTAGCATCACAATTCACAAACGAATACGAACCCTTCTTGACCAAACATATACTTTTAACATATTAATTAAATATATTATTCCCAGCGAGCACAACTTGCGTAAGAAACAATGCTAACTTACGCTTCTAGATCATCGCGTACAAAACACCCCTCCAGGCTTGCAAATGAAATGCTAACATGCGCCGACATGTCAGTGTACCTTAGAATGAACGGCATTGAAGCTAGGGCTTGAAACTGAAATGATAGCGTACAAAAATGCGCCGATAAAGTGCAGAGAAAACACCATTAAAGAAACTGAGGTTATAGATATAGAGAGAGATTCAACACAGAGTTCATCTAACTAAAATTGATATGAAAATGCAATTAAAATGAAACGATTACATCTGTGTTCTAAATTGCTTCCTGTGGATCTGAAAAGCACCCAATCCAAACATAAATTTACAGAACTACCACTCCTGAGAAAACCCTACACAAAAACTACATTTTTTAAACTGAATCACTTCTTAGCCTTTCTCGCGGGAGTCTTCCTCGACGGGGATTTCACACTCTTTCCACTTTTCGCCGGAGCTTTCTTCGCCTTCGCCGGTGCTGCAGGTTTCTTCCCTGGCGTCGACCTCGTCGACGTCCTTGCTGCCTTCGCAGGTCTAGCCGCCGGCTTGGCTTTCGGCTTCGCTGCCGCCTTTGGCTTGGCCACAGCCTTCGGTTTCGCAGCTGGCTTCGGTTTTGGCTTCGCCGCAGCAGGTTTCGGTTTCGCAGCCGCCTTCGGCTTTGGCTTAGGCTTGGTCGCAGCCTTAGCCTTCGGCTTCGCCGCCGGCTTCGATTTCACAACAGGCTTTGGCTTTGGTTTCGCAGCAGCTTTGGGCTTCGGTTTAGCAGCAGCTTTGGGCTTCGCCGGAGCTTTTGCCTTGGAAGGCTTGGCCGCGGCCTTCGGCTTTGCGGCAGGAGCTTTCTTCTTGGCCGGCGCAGCAGAAGCCGATTTAGACGCCGGAGGGAGCTTGTACGAGTTCTTGACCTTCACGAGCTTGCTAGCAGCGACGAGCTTCTTCAAGTGATACAACAGCATTTTCTTGAAGCTCGCCGGCAAGTTCTTGTGCTTCTCTTCGATGAACTTCGTTATCGCGTACTGACTCGAGCCAGTCTTCTCTTTCAGCGTCACAATCGCCTCCGTTATCATCTAGGGTTTCGATACAACAATCAAACACACAATGACATCAGATCTGAACACAGAATCACCACACACACAGACACAGACACATACAGATATATATAGAGAGAGGGGGAGAGGATTTCAGACCTCGAGAAAAGGAGGATGAGACGGCGGCCCCTTAGGCTTCCTCGGAGCAGCTGGTTTCTTAGCTTTGGGCTCTTTGGGAGCATTGCCTTTCTTCGGTTTCGGGGTCTCCTCCGCCGGCTTATTATCCGGCTCCCCAGTCGCCGTCGGATCAACGACGACTTCGACGGCGATGTCGGTTACTTCAACAGCAGCCATTGAGTTAGCTCAGCGGGTCGACTCAGCAGTCAGAAGCTACACAGCTGAAATGTAGAGAGAGAGAGATGTAGAGAGAGATAGCGATGAGTTGACGGTTGGAGGACGGTTTAAATAGCTCTCCAAACGGGGACGAAGAGCAAATGCTGAGCAGTGATTGGTCCAAAGCCACGAGACAGGATCAACTCACTCTCGAATTTTTAAATCTAGACCTTTGGATTTGAGTTTTATCGACGGCTCACATTGGCCTCTAATAAGGAAAAGGATGGGGCTCTTGAAATGTTTTGTCACCTAGGGTGGGAGTTTTGAACACTTGAGGTGTGTTTCTCACCTTGATTCAAATGGGCATAACTCTGGCTATACTTCTTGCATTTTAGCAAGGTTTGGATGTACTTCTAGATTAGGACTTAAGGTTTCTAAAAAGTGCTCATTTGCCTTGTTTGGTTTTCTAAGTTGGGAGAATTTCAAATTCGAAGCCATCGAGGTTTGGATTAGGGTTTCTCATGAGTTCGTTAGGGTCGGAAAGGAATTTAGAAGAATCCATTAAGCCGATGCATGATATTTTTTTTATGTGTGATAGTAGAACTATAAAGGAATCTACTAGATCAAGAATCGTGAAATTTCAATAAGAAATGACCGTTTAAATCTCAACCGAAATATCGTTAAAGTTGAACAAGCTCAAGTGAAAATAATAGTTTGGTATGTAGAATATAAGGTAAGTATTGAACTTTGCAAATCTCATTTAATGTACTAATTCACATTTATGTGAGTATGATATATGCTCTTATAGGGTGTTAGATTACAATTTATATTGTTAAATACAAAGTAAATAGTAAAATTTATGTGTGGGTCAAATACTTTCACTCTTCAAACAAGTGTATATTCTTTGGTACATGAAAATATTAGGGTTTGGCTCCTTTATGAGTTCTTTTAAAAATTTTACCATTATTAAGATGATTTGAACTTGTGAAAATGATGATTCTATTTATAATTTACCTTAATCAACCATGCAACTAATCCATTGTGGCTAGTGGCTTCAAACACTGCATCAATATTGCATTTTGCAACTTTTCTTTCATACTTATTCTACAACCTAGCAACCATGGAAGCTTTCAAAAATTAGAGTTCAGTAAGGAATGATCCTTTTATGCAATATTTGGATTCCAAGCCTGGCTGTCCTTACAAAATATCAAAGCTGTGTGTGGAAGTAATCCATCTATAAAGGAAAGTAGGGTGCATGAATGTACAAAGATTTCTAGCTAGCTTATTTGTAATACCTATGTGTATGTGGATCAAATGGCAATGAAAATAATGGGATGGCCATTTATTTGGCTAGCATTTGAGGAGCTTTTTAATACCAAATAAGGCTTTTACATGAATCAGATTGGAGGAAGTCCTTTAATTTAGAAAAAAAAAATGTTTGGCTAAAATAAATTTTGATATGTCCTTTTAAGTCAAAAAAAAATTCATGTCTTTCGTGACAAAATTCAAGAAGTCCTTTTACGAGTAAAGCAATTTCGACGTTACAATTTTACTCTTTATTATCAGTTGCTACTTTTATTTCGTTTCATGGAAATGGATTTAATTTAAACCATATAAAAAGTGTTAATGTGAAGGAAATTAACATCATTCCTCCTAATTGTGTCATCTACATGGCTCGAATATGTATAAATTACCTACCGAACAATAAATATATAAATTTTTAAATTTTTTTTTTTTTAAACACTTGATGATATATTTTAAACATGTCAATTGTAACTAGATTTTAACTACTAAATCAAATAAGAAAGGGCAAGTAGTAAAAGATAAAATGAAAATAAATTATATCCTAATATGAACTAATGAAAAACAATAACAACTAATTTATCTAGTTGTTTCTCATATTGATTCAATGATTCTATCACGTATAATGCTCATTTCACCAACGGGTCAATGGCCTAGCGGTATCAGGCTCCTACTTTTCAAAGGGAGGTAAGGAGTTCGAATTTCGATGGAGGCATGCGTGTGTGAATACCAACTAGGAAAAAAATAATAATGCTCATTTCACCAAGATATTGTTAGTCCATTGTGCCAATATTTTGCATGTTCATATCATCGCACTCATAATTATGAAAAATTCCAACAAAAAAAAAAAGGGTTCTTTATGATGAGATATCAAATCATTTTGTTTTATAAATATTGACAATAGCAGTGTTGAGTCTCTTAAAGCACCGCGTAATCATTAAGTATGTAAAGTATGATGTGCACTTGAAAATGAAAATTCTGAAAAAGTGCCCTCGAAGAGATTTAAACTCCCAACCTCCAAAAAATGATGATGTGAAAGTTTTGTCATTATACTATTCTCCTTAAGTTACCAAATTATATATAAATTTCATACCTTAATATTGACACCACAAGCATTAATTATTCATTTAATATATCAATTATGGTTAACAAGGGTAAATATGGTAAGTTGTTTCAATAATACATTTAATTTATTCTCACACAAAACAATTTGGTCCATTGCCCTATTGATGATGGACTCATTCTTTATATAATAATATAAATAGAATAATGATTTAAGGAAAAAATTCAGTAATTATCGAATTCAATTTATGTAAGTGTGGTGGTGGACCCCATTATATGATATCATTATGACGTCATGTGATGTGGTCCTTAAATAATTTGGTCCATTGCCCTATTATTATTGATGGACTCATTCTTTATATAATAATATAAATAGAATAATGATTTAAGGACCGAATTCAATAGTTATCGAATTCAATTTATGTAAGTGTGGTGGTGGACCCCACTATATGATATCATCATGACATCATGTGATGTGGTCCACCATTCCTCTCATATAATTTGAATTCGGTAACGGCCGAATTTGGTCCCTAAATCACTACTCATACAAATATGGAGACTATAGGCTAACCAAACTCTCCGAATTTAATTAATTGGTCGAGTCACATCACAAATAAGGCTACAACTTGGGTGGGCCAACCAAAGCCCAACTTTAAAATCTTGGGCTTGGGCCTATTATTTGAAATTCAATTTGGCCTTTAAAAAAAGGAACCTTAATTCAATTATTATTTTATCTTCTCATATAGCCATTTCTTTATTTTCAAATTGTCACTTTGACTCAGCGATGCGTCGCTTAATCTTTATACTTGTCTTATCACTCTTTCATATATATTTGTTTTCAGATGTGAAAATGTATATATTCATTAAAATATTTTTATTTTTTTTCTTTTCCCAAACATGATTAAGTTCTAAGACTATCATTTTCTTTCTTTTTCCTTATTAATCTACCTAACTCAATGAAAGGTTAACGCGCACTATCATTTCCTTTCTTTTTAAATTTTCCTCTCATAACTATTATTATCTTTCATCATCTTATCTCGTTATGCCAAACGCAGTCTTAATAGAATAATATAGGAGCAAATAAAAAATATATATCAAAACCATGTTTTGATTGACTTAGAGAAGGGACACAATTTGGTGGACTCTACAAAGTAAATAAGTCCCTAGGAACTAATATATCTTATTCACGATATGTATAGTGAAATGTTGACCGGAGTTCATCTACATGTGGAGAAACTAAATATTCTCCGTAAAAGAAGGACTATATCAAGGATTGGTGTTAAGTCCATGCCTATTTACGATTCTATTGGATGGAATAATAAAAGATATCCAATAAGACATTTTATGGTGTTTGTTGTTTGCAGATTACGTAGTTTTACTAGATACATCTAAGGAAGCCTTAGTAACAAAATTACGGAAATGGAGAAAATCTTTAGAAGCAAAAGGTTTTAATGGTTGGAGGAATGGATTGAAGAATGATGGAAAATAGTAGAGATAGATGAGACTGCTCATTTTTTGTTTTATTTTTTTTGGGAAGGAAAAAAAGAGAGGAAGGAAACAATGAGGGATAAGCATCCATCTTTGCTTTAAGTTTTCTTATCCGTCCAAAATTGGGCAGAAGAGAGGAAGAAAATAGTGAATAACTATCAAAATATATAACATACCAATTTTGACCTTTCAAAAAATTTGTTTTTTTAACTTTATATAACAAGGGTGTATTGGTAAAAATGAATAAATTTCTTGTTCCTTTCCTTCTAACCATAAAAAAAAATAAATAAATAATAAAAAAAATTTGTTACTCCATTCATCATTTTCACTATCTATTCCATTAACCCAAACAAAAAAAGTAAGGGAGACACATTCCATTTCCCAGGGTCGACTAGAGCCTTAGGCAATTTAGGCCGTCGCCTAAGCCCCACCCAATAGGAAGGCCCCTAAAAGTTTTATTTTCTTGTATTATTAGTTTAAAAATAAATAAATAAATAAAATAAAAAACTATTTCCTTACATTATTACACCTTATCCAATAGAGAACATTTAATGGTAAGCCTAAATAATTTCATTCATTCTAAAACTTTTTATTTCACTTACAATTAAAACTCCTAATTTATTTCTCTCACCTCCTTTTTATTTTTTTTTTTCCTTTCTTTCCTCGTACCACTTTCTTTTCCTCTTTTATAGTGTAGTATTAATATTGAATATATATCTAACTCATAATTATGAGAATTGATAAAACCTTCCCTATTCTCGTATTATTTTTTTCTTTTTTATTTTCTACTATTCCTCACGTTCTCATTACGACATTTTTCCACCTTATCATCCACTTATAATACATATTCTCCATCACCCTCCTCTCTCATTGCAATATTTTTTTCTCTTATCCACTCACGACAATCTTTTTTACTTGGATGCCATAAGTTTATTGGAAGTTACAAAATAACAATAAAAGTATTGAATAATTTGTTGGACAATTGAACCACTGGATTCGATTATTATGCAACTTAAATTATTTTGTGCCCATTTTTTTTATCTTGCTGAATATCTACTAGAAAGTATGAAACGAGGTACGAAAAAATTACAAAAAAGAGGAGAATAGATAGACTAATTAAATTTTAAAGATGAGCTCTTGATAAATTTGTTACAACTAATAATCAAAACAATTTTTTAAAAAAAGGGTAAAAATTCAACAAATGAACAACCAAATCATCTAAAAAAAATTAGTGACTTGATAAAAATATATATACATGAGT